CTCTTCCCTTGCTTACCCCACCCCTAAAGCCTTGGCTACTCTGGGAGCCCCAAAGGCCAAACAACACAGCTCTGTGGGACACTTTTGGGCTACATGACCTACACCTGGAGCAAAATCCTTGGATTTAAGCACCTAATCATGATTCTATTCTACATTGTCCAAACCCCTGAAAATCCATTAATGCATCTGCTTTTGTAACATGCCATCATCTTAAGATAGAATCACAGTAAAACAGCAAGAAGGACCCACCCAGTTTTTGCATTAATTGTTTTGCGGGGTAGAACAGATTTTCACTAGACACCTAAGTCCACTTATATGCCTAATAAGTGAAATAGAACCTGATCTGAGCTATCAATCGGTGCAGCCTCATTGCCTGCCAGGAAGTGTGTAGTCTGTCCGTTCATCCCCCACCCCAAAACACAGCACTAAGCTTGCACATAGGAAATCTGGCTTGTGGTGAGCACCCTGCCACCAACCTGCTGGATGACCTTGGGAAAGCAACATCACCCCTTTAATGCCTCATTCAGGATGACACTCACTTCCTTGGCAAAATCATTGAGATCTAGGGATGGAAATTGCTATGGGCCAGATCCTTTAAGGTACTTAATTGTTTAACTCCTGCTGAGTTTGTTTCTAATGTCTTCAGAGCCTAGCTGTTATTCTCTTTCAAGCAGAAGGTATTTGTATGGGTGATTATTGACGGTAGTCAAAATACAAAAAAAAAAAAAAGTTTTTTTACATGTTCACAGGCTTGCTCAAAACATTGGAGTCTCTCAGGCCTAAACGACTGAGCCTAAAAGTCCCCAAGATGAAATGCTATCATCTGGTGTGGTTTCCATTATTGCCTTCCCCTCATCTAGCTGGAAGATACCATGAGAAATTGCTTCTTGCAGTAGCAGGACATAAATCAGGGCAGAATCATTCAAAATTGGGCTTGATGCAGTAGTTACTGCGCAATGTTCCTTGGCCTTTGTTATGGATGATCAAAGTGTTCCCTTCTGAACGTACAGTCTAGGAAGATAATTTAGCTCAGGTACTGTCAAAGCTCAGCCTGAGATCACCTGACAGCTCACACATTTCTCAGCTAACCTAGCTAAAGCATTTGTAATATAATTCCTCAGCAGGAGAGTTTTGCTTAAATCCCCCTTTGATGCGGCTCATCTGGGGTTCCCAACAGAGCAGGTAGAAAAATACAAGTTTGATTACATGAAAACATGTCAGGGGTTTTTTCAGCTGAAATTCACCTACTGAAATATTCTGGTCGCATTCTACGTTGTTCAGAGGGAAACTGAAATATTTTAAATTGAAAATGCTACTGCCTCATAGGAATGGTACGTTAGCTATCCCACACTCTCCTTTTTCTCTAGAGGCCAAGCTGGTTGGTCAGATCTGATTTCCACGATGCCCCATGGTCTCATCTCTTGGACAGGTTATGTGTATGGTGGAAGTTCCTGGCTGTAACTGTGTGAGAGGTCATCCAGCCGGGGAGCCCTGCTTGCAGGGGAAAACTGAGAACATTCAACAGCCATGCTGCAGCTCCCAGGAGGTACCAAAATGGCATTTTCAAATTAAAAATATTTTAGGCTTGGGGACATTTGTTGTTTTCAATGAAAACTGGAAAGCCCAACTTTTCTAAGGGAATCAGATGATATGTGTAAAAAGTGCTGTTCAATTGAAAATGCAACTTTCTGTTAAGAAACATGTTTGAGAAAACCTTTTTTGTAAGCCCTAGTTTCCAGTCAAAGGCAGAAGTAGACCACATTATTACAGCTCAGTCACAGGATCACACTGTGTGCCTGTGAGGGGGCTGTATTAATCCACACGACTGAAGTGAAAATGGAAAACCCCTAGGATAAGCTCTCCAGGTTTATATTTGCTCTTTATACAGGGAAGGGGAAATCATGAATTCACAGCACCCACCATGTCTTCTGAAACTCACAAAACCAGAGAAACTGCAGAAAGCTCTCACCTCCCATAGTCTCCACACATCATCAAATGATTTGAAGACTCGTTGGAAGTAGAGACAAAACCAAGGAAACAGGGACTGAACAACATGAGACCCCCTTCCATCTAGAAGGTGAGAAAAGCAAACTCAGGTTAGGGATCAAAATGCGTTTTACAGCCAAGCTTACAAAATTGTGAATCGAAGGGCAGCGTGAATCCCTTTATGGAGCTTTTTACCCCGTTGCTTTGTATTCAGCAGTACACACTGGTTTTCTGCCTTTAAAAGTTTGCTCCCCGGAGCAAGTCTGTTCTGCTGCAATGCCTTGATCTTGCATGGCTATATTATACAATTGCATCATCATCTGGCATCATCATGGGATGCTGTTACATTGCCATGTAAAGCTGAGTATCATGATGCCATGACAACTCTCTGCTAGGCTGTAGCATGGGGATGTTAGTCAGGCAGGCCTCAGATGGTTACTGAGCCTCTTGATGTCCTGCCCCCATGGCATGCAGTTTTCCAGTCACATTGGAAGTGTCCAGTGCAAACTGGGATGTACTGACAACTCCTACCTAATCCAGTTAAACCAGGGGTGGGCAAAATGTGGCCTGCAGGCCAAATGCAACCTGCCGAGTTATTCTATCTGGCCCGCAGGGCCCCTAAAAAATTTAGAAAACTAATATTTATCTGCCCTGGCTGCCTGTCATGCGGCCCTCGATGGCTTGCCAAAACTCAGGAAGTAGCCCTCCACCTGAAATAATTGCCCGCCCCTGAATTAAACCCATGCAATGTTGCCTGGGGTTGCATGCACTCACAGTGAGGGAGGGAAATAAATGTCATTAGACTTGTCCATTAGAATGATATCAGTTGACCCCTGAGGTCAAGTCTGATCTTTGTGGGCTAAGGGAAGGTCAGAGTGAGCTCATGAGAAGAACAGGAAGATGGAGGCACCTGAGAACTGGACACGATGGCCCAAGGGGCCCTTCCAGTCCTACATTCCACTCTATCCACCCAACCACGTGAAAATGGCAAAACAATAAAAGGGAAATACAAGAAAAGTGTCTGAGACGGGCTGAGATCTACCACTCCCTTTCCCCACATTTTGCTCCAGTGCCAGGAAATTCTGGATGCATGAACCTTGATAACTGTCCCATCCTCCAGTCTCACAATATCTGGTGGAACCAGGTGATGCCCATCAATGCACAAATATTTGCTTTGTTCTGCTGCCAACCCACAGAAATGACACTACCTGAACTCTGGTAGCACAGGCTTCATGGCTCCTCTGGGCTGGAGAGGAGGGCAGGAGGTAGGGTGACAGTACTTACCCAGGTACTTGGCAAAGAGAGGATCCATAAATGCAATCACAGCTTTCAGCATTAATATATTCTTTCCAACTCCTATGTGTATCACACAGCCGTGCTCCTGCAAGAGAATATTCAGGAATGAAAAGTTCCTTGGGGGCACATGAAAAAGCCAGATGGCCCAGCTTAAATCCATAAATCCCGACTTATTTCTCTCATAAATCTGTTGACCTTACAAGTAGATTTGCTCCATTTTTAGGGTTTACACTACAGACTTACATGAAACCAGCTCATGCATAGGTCACCAGTGGGAACGGACTACAAGACTGTCTGTAAAAGCTAGAATGCTACCACTTAAGTTAAAAACATGCTTCTACTAGCTGGAAGTAGCAGTAGGCTTTTATCTTTTGATGGACCAGCTGTTGGAGGCAAGCACAATGCACACTGGCTTAGTGTGGGTGAGTCATGTGTACCTCTAAGCCTGAAAGCATGCATGATATAAGTACTTAAGGGATGTGCATAAGTACATAAGGGGTGTACATCAGGATCTGGGAGAGCACCTGTTCACCAGAGTGCTCCATGGGATGACAAGGTCCAACAGTCACAAACACCTCCAAGATCGTTTGAGGCTGGACTTAAGGAAAAATTTCTTTACTGGCCGAGCCCCCAAGGCCTGAAATAGACTTCCCCAGAGGTGGTGCAAGCGCCTACTCTGGACTCTCTTAAGAAACGTTTGGATGCTTATCTTGCTGGGATCCTTTGACCCTAGCTGACTTCCTGCCCCTGGGGCAGGGGGCTGGACCCAATGATCTTCTGAGGTCCCCTCCAGCCCTAATGTCTACGAAATCTATGAAATGATGCATGTAGCACTAAACATCCATTAGAGCCAACCTCCATCTCCTAGAGGCTCACATCCTGTCTGTGTGATACTCTTGGCAGCCTGCCCTCCAGAGACCATTGGCCCGGCATGCATACTTATAGATGCAATGCACCAGCACCTCAGTGGGAAGTCAAAGGGAGGAAAAGGTCTCCTTTTATTTTCCTTTGCAGTTTTCCAGGGTAGGTTTATCCCACATGACTCCATGTGGAAATGATCAAATCCAGGAGTCTTGGCTTTAGTGCCAGTTCATGTGGTTGGCTGGGTTAGGAGCTAGGAAGCACTTGGCAGCCCTCTTACTTCCCCTTAGAACTGATTAACACAGTTGTTTCAGCTAATTGGCTATTGCCAATTTGCTGTTTATGATACACTGATGGTGCCAGCCCTTCCCTGACAAACCCTCTTCAACCGGCTGATTCAGTCTCTAGTCTAAAGCTTTATCTCCATGTGGGGGCTGCTGTTGTTCTGACTGTGACCCCAAGGCTAAAGCAGTTGGGCTCTGTGGTGTGGACTCAGCTGTGCAGGCAAGAGCTTTTGTGTGACCAGTTACACCAGCTGCCCCCAACAACACAAGTTCTGCCAGCAAAGCTGCAGTCACCCACGGAGGTTATGCTGGCAGACCAGTGTTGGCTATGGCAAGTCAGGACATAAGTGACCTAGGATTTGCAGGCAAGCCTTAAAGCCCAGAAGTGATCTGCAAGACCGCTCTATCACTGGAGCATTTGCTATAGTTTGGAAGCTGGGTGTGGGTGGTCAAGTCAGGCTGGTTGCCTCTCAGGACAGCATGTGTGGATTTGCCATCAGGATAGGCCATTGACAGTATATTGCAAAGGCCTTGCACAACCTCTGGCCAGGAAGCAGTACAAGTGAGACTCACTGTTTTTTGGAGGAAGAACTGAAACAGCCAGTAGATCTCATGTTCCTTCTCCACAAGCAGTTGGAAAAGCAGGAGCATCTCGTGGAAGCCCTGCTGGTACTCTGCAAGGAGAGAGGACTTAAAGATATACTCAGGCATCCCTTGGCAGGCCAAGAGGGTTGCAAGCCAACAACTAAGATAATAAGGAAACATAGGACAAAAGCAGGGTGTCTCTGGATATTATAGGTATGGGCTAATTATTGAGGTCTTTTGCTATGATAACTGATAACTAATTTAATACATTTACCAAGAAAGTGAAAAGCCCCTGCCCCTTCTGCCCTCTGCTTCCCACTGGGTGGAAGAAACCTCAGAAATTAATGGATTATGGGGGACAAAGAGGGAGAAAGAATTAGGGAAGGGGCTTCAAGGCTCAGAGATCCAAGCTAGGGAAGGACAAGCCCTGCGTTTATTTAGAGGAAGGGCAGTACCAGGGAAAATGTTGTACTCAACCCTGGACCTCAACTCTAAGCGAGTAAAAGGTGCTTCAGTTCTTTTGCCCCTTTGATAAAATAGCCAGTGAGAATGCAAAGCATCAGGCTCCCTAGGCTCGGGACAGACATTACACATAAACTGGTTTAAGTGATCAGAAACTGATTTCAACCTGTTCAGTGCACATAAACCAGTTTGACATAAACCTGGTTGAATGTAGTATCAGACTTAACTGATTTGGGTCAAACCAGTTTATCCAGTGCCTGTCCCAGACCCCTTTCTGGTTTAAGTTAAATCAGACTCTCCGGGCACCCGAGCATGCTCTCTGGGCTCGGTGGGGCTGTGCTCCACAGCAGGGCTGGCCCCTCCGCTCTGCTCCCTGGCTGCAGTTCCAGCAGAGACTGCAGGTATCTGCCTGGCCTTCCCCTGCTTCCCACTCCCCTCCCCACTCCCTGCTAAGCAAGGATCCCCATCCCCTCTGGCTTACACAGACACCTCTCAGCATTAGCTAGCAGACTACATGCTGGCTACAGTCCATGCTATGGCAGACGGGACAAAAGCAGAATCAACATGTAGCTGGTACTGGTACTGTCCCTCTGGCTTGGTAATGGGCCCAACATCATGGAGTCTGAGAACATTCCAGAAATTCATTGGGCAGCATATCTAGCATGGGTCTGTAGTGGATTTGAAACTCTGGGTGGGAGGATTTGGTCCACCCAGGGAAAATGAATATGGGAAGCACCAGCATTGAGCCTTACTATTCACCTCATTTATCATGGTCCCTTACTATCTCCCATACACCCCAGTGACCATGGTCAGCACAGCAGCTCATTCACTCCACTTCCCCCTCTTCCCCGCCCTGACTTTCAGCTAGTTTCCCCCCCTGCTATCTTGGACTCCCCCTCCCCACATCCTATCATCTCCCTCAGCTAAAAGCACCATAACATAACCTCCCACTCCTCTATACTCACCAGCCTTCACATTGCACACATAGCTCAGCAGAAGGATCTTCTCCAGCTGCTTCTTGTCCACCATGGCATTGCCCCGTAAATCTCTGGTGTACAGTCTCTGCAGGTCAGAGTCTGTAGGGAGAGGAAAAGCCACCACTCATGCATGGGGCTATGGACTCAGACCAGACTGCAAGACCAAGACAGATCCTGCAGTCCACTCAAAGTGAATATGAGTGTGTCCTGTGTGCGGATGGTGGAATCAGACTGAGGACATTCTGACTACAGCTGGATAAATAAATGGTACTTTAAGCCACTGGTAATTCTGAAAAATAAGACAAAACTGGGACAAAAAATTACCCAAAATGATTTTTTCCTGATTTTTTTCAGAATACAGAGTTTAAAAAATGAAATTTGAATGAAACATTTCACACAACCAGAAATAAATCACTTTTATTTGAGCATTAAAAATAACAGAAGGGATTTTTAAAATGCAAATTGGCTTCAAACTGGAAAAAAAAGGTTCCTATCAGAACCAAAAAAGGTTATCAGATAGTTTTGTGGGTCCACCCCCACCAAAATGATCAACTATCTAAAAATCACCATGAATCTGTAATACATTTGGGGGCTGTCAGAACTAGATTTTTCACTGACAAGCAGAAGAAGCTGAAAAATACCTTCCAGCTCTAAATTGCACTTCTCGTTCTACGGCGGCAGGGCAATTCAAGGAAATGCTATTTATAGTGTAGCTAAACAACCCAGTTCTTTTCCCCCTATGCTACGTGCAGGCCTGGTCCTTTCCATCTAGCTCAGTGTGATCTCAGGAAGTAGGACCTTTTGGCATACAGCTAATCAGCACCAGCATCAGCTGGGTCTGCAATCAGTTGCAATGTGCCTTGGTTCCAGCTAGGTGCAATGCACACCTCTCCAAATGTGTGGCATCTTTGTAGCAGTCACCAAGAGCTTTCCAAAGAGCAATTCTATTTCACTGAACAAATGAGGGTTTCCAAGGGTAGTTCCAACCAGAAAAATAGACCAGTTAATTGTATCACTGCAATATCAAGCTGCTACCGATCTCCAGCTCCACATCTGCTATTGACATGCTATGGCTTTAAGCAACAGCTCACACTTAGCTTAACTGAAAGCTATGGAGCTTTCTGAACTGGTGCAAAGCAGCTCTGGAGACACCACAACTAAGACCTGAGTGTTAAGAAATAAAGCATTCCAACAGGAGCTGAACAAAGAAGCTAAATTGTCACCAAGGCCTTACAAGATCCAACAGATGGTGCAACCTTATTGCAGGTTTCATATAAAGATAGTGGGACAGAGAGCTCCCTAGGGCACAGAATAACCTAATGTTTGGGACATTTAGCGACAACGTAGAAGATTTAGGCTCAAATCAGTGAGCTGAATCTTCATCTCCCACATTAAGAATATATATGGAAACTACAAAGTAATTGGCTGTTTGGAGGTGAAGGACTCTTTCTTTGGGCTGCATGTTTTTTTAAGTAGGGAAGCTGTTTTCTTTATGAGAAAAAAAGCACTTCTGGGGACACTATGTATGCCATGCAGATGCCAAGATGACGGAGTCCTGTATTAACCATCTTGCAGCCACAGCTATTGGTAGAGCACTGTAGCTTGTGCCTAAAATAGCAAGCGAGCTGCTGGTAGTACCTTGATGAGGCCTGTGATGTGGAAACAACTCTGTATTTATAGGAACTGATATAGAGAACTACTCACAGTAAAGAACTAATAGGCTTGTCCTTGTAAGGGTCTGGAGCCTAACCTTGTGTGATGCAAAGTAAGTCCTCCTAGAAACAGAGGGCATGTATACACATACATTTATACACATAGATTAATTGAGTCTGCTCTTCACACAAGCTGATGTGCCTGGCGCTTCATCACACGCATAGGTATAAACAGCAAAATGCGCATCAGTGCTGAGAAGATGGCGGTGATGCGCTTCTGAACTAAAACACCTTTGATGCATTTTAGCTCAAAAGTGTGCTGCTGCCGTTTTCTCAGCGCTGATGCACATTTCGCTGTTTATACAAATGCATGCGTCGCACTGCCAGGTGTTTTTAAAAGCGCTCAGTGCTGCAGCACGCGTACAAACGCCCAGCGTGTTGAGGAAGTATGGCACGCCAGGAGACAGTCTGGGTGCAACAGCAGGAACTTCTGGGTGCCACCCTTCCTGGACACTCTGGATGCCTGCAGACGAACAGGATGGCTGCTCCGATGCACTCAATTAATTGAGTCTGCTGGAGCATGCTAATTAGTGTACTCCAATAAGCCTCTTTGTCTCATGTATCAGTGTCCACATGTTTCGAAATGGTGGCAGGGGCACTTTAACTAAAGCTCATTCAATGAGTTTTAGTTAAAGCACCTCCACTCCCATTTTGAAGCAAGGGATGTTAAAACATGAGATGCTGTGGGCACTTTAATTAGAGTGGCTCTCAGAGCCACTCTAGTTAAAGTACCCCTCCTCCCCCCCACCCCTGGAGCATGTTTAAAAATGCCCTCTATGTTCCCAGAGGATTTTACTTTATGAAACAAGAGTTGGCTATGACTCCAGAAAAATCATTTTTTTTCTCCCTTGCAAAAATCAGATGCGTGTTTTAGTTGAGGGGGGCATCTATTGTATGTAAGCGAATCTGGTAATTGAAAAATTCCCAGCCTGTTCTAGTATAAACTATTTCAACATATGGCTTTGTAGATGAAGGTGAAAAGTGATTTCTTTTTTATCCAGTCATGAAGGAAAAACAAAAAAAAGGGCACATTTGATTGGCTGCCTGGCATTTTTCTAAAGCTCTGGCAGAAGGATAGAGCCTCTCTCATTTCTAAAGCAGCAACTCAAGGCACAAAATCTCCTTCTTGTCTCGGCTGGGTTGATTTATGCAGGTTACATTGATTTGTAACATTAATTTTGCAATATCATTTAATATTCCTTTTGTTGTACAACTTGGAGAAGCCTAAATGGGAATCTGAATACGATAATGCTAATCACTTTTGTTGCTCCTTTCATCCACCAGAATTGGACCCTGAGCTGCTCTCCAGACTCAAATTCTCTCTCTAACAACATCTCTATCTAGTGTCTTTCTATATATAATTCTCTCTCTCTGGGTCACTTGACCCATCACTAAAATGCTGATGGCTCCAGGCAATTTTGTAGAACACACTAGCTCAAACAATCAAATACAGCAGCTCAGGACAAGAAGGAAAATAGAAGAATTTCGCAAATTGGAACTTCAGGGGGAATTTTAGGTAAGCAGAAATATAATTAACTGAGATGGAATTTGTCCAGGTTAGGGGGGTTAACACCCTTACTTTTACCAATAAATGTCATAGGATTGTTAATGGCCAACAGTGACCAGAACCTTGGTTTTACATCCCATTCCAAAGGCGGTGTTTCCAGCAGCGTAGCACGTACTACCACCATGTCAGAGCAGCGGTTCAAACTGTTAATGATGCGGAGGGCACAGTGTTACCTATTGAGTCACAGAATAATATCCCTTTTGGTATCTGGAGTTCTTCCACTCCCACGCAGCCTAGATCCAGCCTTACTGGGCCAATGAACTGCAAGATGACCACAGTCCAAGGTAAACTGAGCTTTCCTGGGAACAGCACAGGCCCAGAGGCTACAAACAGATGTTGCATTTGCCCCGAACTAAACGATTTTATCCAAGGACAAAGTGCAATCATTTCGACACCCATGCCTGCCATCCCAGGATAAATCCTAAAATGATTCATGGGATAAGATGTGCTAACAGTTTAGCCTACGACATTGCAAATTGTCTCTGAATAATTATCTCAGGATTGTATCATTTAATCAATGGGAGAAAAATGGCAATGCATTCAGCATCTCACTAAACCCAGGTTAGAAGGGCGATGTGTGTACACGCCAGTCCCAAGATACATCAGTTCTGGGACAAACAGCATGGGAACAATTTGTCCAGGGACAAATGCAATGTCTGCTCCTAGCTAAGAAAGGACAAACCCAAGCTGCAGGCACTCTTAGGCTTCTGAGGAACAAATAGATCACAAGACTCAAGCCTTTTGAGTCAGAGTTTGCAATGAAGGTGCTTTGAGTGATCTAGGCAAATGACATGGCAAATCACACTGGCCTGATGCTTGAAATACCACTCTGTTGCCCCCTTGTACTCCTAATCCCAGCACAGCAATGCCTGGGACCACTTACTGATGAAACTGCGGGCCTGCATGAAGCCCCGATGCTCCGTCTCCAGAAGTGGCTGGATCTTCTCATACATTCTGCACAAATCATCGTAGCTTTTTCTGCAAGAATATGAGAGTCAGTCACTGGCGGACTGCACAGAACAGGATGTGAAAACTAAGCATCCCATTATAAAGACGGTGGTAGGAGTTTTGCATCAAACAGAACTCAGCAACTTAAGGATTCATAGAAATAGGAGGAAAATCAAAGCATAAGAAAGAGACAATTTGTTTGTTGTTATTTAAGAATCTTTGCTAAGTTTGCAAAAAGAAAAACCAAGTGCTGTATAAATAAGGAGTTTTCTAAAGAGTTTGGCATTGGTTGTGTCTGTTTTATTGCCTTGGAATGGGAAAGGTGCGCGCATGTTTGTGAGCATCACTGGCCTCTACAGAAGGAAGTCAGACGTGGGAAACTGCATGTCAGCACCCGACCTGCAGCCAGTGACCAGTCATTAAACCCTTCAGCTGTGGCTCCATCATCAAGGTAACCAAACCCTCTCATGGTGGTACTCTGTTGCTGCTTAATGGTGACTTGGCCATTTATAGAGGTTGAGCTTTGCAAGCTTTGGCTAATAGAGCTATGTCTTTTAAAACCACTGGCACTGCATTTGCTCATGAGCCATTCAAGGTTGGGAAAACCCATGTACCACACATGTTATGCTCCCTCTTCTGTACCTCTGATTACTCCTGCCCCATGATCATTACGCTTTGTTCATTTCATCTCCAGTTTTTGAGGGCTCTAGCAACAGATTTTGCTCATGCTTGGCTTGTCCAGGTTTCTTGTACAGCCTTGTACAGTATTCTGGAAACAAGCCAGGAAAAAAGGGGCTAACGGTAAAGGGGAACATTGTGATGGTCACAGCAAAGTCTACAGGGAGGATCTGACTCCTGAGAGCTCAAACCTCAGGGAACACATCCTGCCTGCCATCTCTGCAGATTTCCTATGGGGTAACCATGCTGAGCCTCTGTTTCTGACCTGGTCCCCATCCCAGTCTATATGGGATCTTACAAAGTGATGGTCCCAAGAGTACAGAAAGGTCTGAATTGTAAAGTGGGTGTGTGAAAAATCCATTCCTCCACTCTCACAGTGTAACTCAGTGATTAAGTCTCAGTTATGCCATGGCCATTTCATGCCACTCTGCTTAAAGATGACAGAAATGTTCTCTCTTAGACCATCCCTTGTGCAGTCAGCTTTTGCATGCTAGTATGAGAGCTCTGTCCTGGTACCGTTCCCAGGCTCCAGCCTAGAGGTAGGTTGGATGTTGCTGCTCTACAGCTGTTTTTGTTGCTTCCTGGGGAAACACCTCTGAAGTCACCCTAACTTAGCCCAAGGCTCAGGCAATCCAGGATAAGAGAAGTGTGACCATGGTTTTCCTTTCTCCATCTTTGCCCCAAGCTCAGGAGAACGCTAGAAGGGAGGGACAGGCTACAACTAGATCTGGACAGGTTACAGGGGTGGGTGGATGAGAACAGGATGGGATTCAACACTGACAAGTGCAAGGTGCTACACTTAGGGAGAAAGAACCAGCAGCATACCTACAGGCTGGGGAACTCCCTTCTCGTCAGCACAGAGTCAGAAAGGGATCTTGGAGTCATTATTGACTTCAAGATGAACATGGGACGCCAATGTGAGGATGCGGTCAATAAGACTAATTGCACCTTGTCATGCATCCACAGATGCATCACGAGCAGGTCCAAGGAGGTGATCCTCCCCCTCTATGCAGCACTGGTCAGGTCACAGTTGGAGTACTGCATCCAGTACTGGGCGCCACACTTTAGAAGGGATGTGGACAGCATGGAGAGGGTCCAGAGGAGGGCCACCTGCATGATCAGGGGTCAGCAGGGCAGGCCCTATGAGGAGAGGCTATGGGACCCGAACCTGTTCAGCCTCCACAAAAGGGGGCTGAGAGGAGATCTGATGGTCGTCTATAAACTTACCAAGGGGGACCAGCAGGGAATGGGACAGTCCCTGTTCCCCCAGGCACTACCAGGAGTAACTAGGAATAATGGCCATAAGTTGATTGAAAGTAGGTTCAGGCTAGACATCAGGAGGCGCTACTTCACAGTCAGGGCAGCTAGCATTTGGAACCAACTTCCAAGGAAAGTGGTGCTCGCTCCTACCCTGGGGGTCTTCAAAAGGAGGTTAGATAAATTACCTAGCCAGGGTCGTTTGACCCCAGCATTCATTCCTGCCCATGGCAGGGGGTCAGACTTGATGATCTGCTCAGGTACCTTCCGACCCTAACATCTATGAAACTATGACTCTTGTAATATCAACAACAAGGAGTAGAAGGCACACATAAGGAAAAGGCCCAGGATGTTTAAGAGGGAAGGAATTTGGGGAGGCCAGTGAGTAAGGGTTGTGGAAAGTACATGGGCAAAAAACGGCCTGAAATGGAATAAAAATCTAGCCCTGAGAGATCCTCATCCAGCCAATCTCCCAGGGACAAAT